AAACTGAGTGCCTAAGACAACCAGGGTGCCCTTCCTGCGGCAGTGGCACCCCCACTCACGTGCTGGCAGGATCAGTGTCGGCTAGACAGCTCGCAGGGAAGGCACGGGGAGGAGACGACCTGGCAGAGGCTTCCAGCTTATTAATGCTGCCTCATAGGGTACAAGAGACCAAATCAGCAGTAATATTTTTAGACTGATTGTTAACTTTCTCCACTTTCACCCTTCCATGCCAGCTCCTGTGGGTTTTAAAGCTGAGTCACTGTTCGAATTTCCGAAGCCCTCCCCAAGAGTACAAAGGCACCCAGCATCTGATGGTGACAGCAGCAATGGCACCAGATGCCTGTGTCGCAAGACATGGTCCGAGCTTGAGCGCAGCCTGGAGAGAGCCTAGGCTCAAGACAGAGCAGTCAGATGTCTGTTACCTACTGGGAGTAGTCACGGGAAAACCCAGGCCAGGGGCAAGTATTTCTAGCCCACGATACAAAGTCGCACACCTGGAGCCCTTCTTTCCAATCCCAGCCCTTGCCTCTAGGTTTACTCGCTCACAATCTGTCCGAAGGTGGGGAGGTAAGAGGGGGAGGCAGCACTCATTCCAGGCACAGCAGACAGCTTCCCACCGGGAACCCCAGCCCTGCAGCTCTGCCCCACACCCCAACTTGGTGGTGACCTTCTAAGCCCACAGGTCCAAGGTGGTACCACACAGCCTTTTCCCCCAGTCCTGATCACTGGACAAGTGTCACTACCAAAAAAACAACCCACCACATGAGGCCCGCACACTCTCTGCCCCCGTACCCACCACCTCGACTCCCCTCTCACCAAGGTGACACTGTCATGTGCTCCCAGCCCCCCTCCCCACTGAAGCTGGTCCTCGACAGACTACATGACCCCAGGAGAGCCCATGCCCCAGTGAATGACAAGAACATTCTGTAAATGCACCATCATGCCCTAGAAGCTGTAGAGGTTCAGAGGTAAAGGTCTTTGGATAATCTGTCCATCCAGCTGATCCACACGAGCAGGAGACAGAGGGATGGGAGAGACTTTGTCTGGACTTTGCAGTTCAAAAATATGCAGGATTAAGCCCAGCACTCAACATTCACTCAGTAAATATTTATTAAAAAGCCATGAGCCGGCACGGTGCTCCACGCTGGGAGCAGCATCGTGGAGGCCAGACAGTCGAGGCGGACATCCTTGGTTGGGCCTGGGAGGCTTGCGTTCCAGAAGAGGAAACCAACCCTACTTTGTTGTTCGGAAGCACAGATGGAGCCATATGCTGAAGATGCCCCTGAGCCCAGGCTGATCTACCCCAGACCACAGGACACAGCATGGGGCACGCACACCTCCTGGGTCGCAGTCAGGGCAGAAACCAGAGAGGGCGAACGGGTCGATCCCTGAGGGCCTTCTGAAGGAGAGCGGGAGAAGCAGGGCCCGTCCTCCAGCACCCTCAGGCTGAGCATCTGGTCAGCCCACTGGGCTTCTGTATAAGGCATTCATTAGGAGCCCTCATTTCCAGGTCCCCCAAAGCAGATTCTCAGGCACCCCACTCCATGCTGAGTAATGCTGCGTCCAGAGTCGCCAGGAGAAGGCAGGGAGGCAAACGCACTGGGTGGTGCTGTTGAGACTCCAGGTGGAGAGGGAAGCAGAATCCCAGGGACCACAGCAAGGAAATGCATCCCCTCTGGCCGAATAGCCCAAGTTGTACATAGAAATACCTTAACATACGTGTTCTCTCGTCCAACATGTTAGGGTTCTCTGGTCATAGAACACAGGCGTAATAGAGTAACTGAGAGCACAAGAGTGCGGGAACCAGAAAGACCTGGGTTGGAATTCTGGTAGTCGTGTCACTTTGGCACCTCACAGCCTCTGCGAGCCTCACTACTTCCTCACCTTTGAGAGAGGAACAACAATAGCACCCATTCCACAGGCCCGTGCAACACTGAAATCACGCCATATACTTAGCATACGCAACAGCCCATGAACGGTGGTTATTAGTCACCTTGCCCCATCCCAGGACGTGGAGAACAGCTGTCACAACCCTGCTGGTCCATCACATGACTTAAGCCACTGCAAGCAGGACAGAGGTAGTCCTAGACACATGCCACTGTGGGGTCACAGAGAAAGACCCACTTCTAACATTTATCCTTCCCTGAAAGGCTTCCTTCCTAGCACGAGGTGAGGCCTCAGGGCAGAGTCTAGAAGGGAGGGACCCCACAAAGTGTCATATTCGAACCAGTGCTGGCTTTGCAGGCAGAACTCTCAAAAGCAGACTCAAGCCCAGGGTCTTCCTGCAGGCCTCTGAGGCCTGTGAAACCCTCATAGCAGAAGGACCCTAGCCCCCGAGAAAGGTCCCCACATACCAGTCTCATGCTGAGAAGCCAATGAAAGGTTGTCCCAATGCAAAAAAAGTCTTCAGGGGAAAAACACGGAAGCCCTCACCACAGCAGCTACCGTGTTGCATTTAGTATACTTACTCATCTGTTTTCCCTTGATAGCCATGAGGTTTTTAAGGACAATTTTATTTGTTGATGTACCTCCAGTGCCTAACATCGTGCTTGGCACATAGCCAGTGTTCAACGTTTGTTGAGTGAATTCATTTTCCGTCAAGAGCCTTGCTATCTCCAACCTTGCCCCCAACACCACTAAACACTTAAGAGTGGTAGGAGATGGCCAGATGTAAAGCCGCAGGTGCCTCGGCAGCATATCTCTGAGCAGAGCCCAAGGAGGAAGTGAGCATCCCGTGCTCTGTGCAGAGGCAGCAGGGCACCAGGCTGTCTGCAACGACAACCCGGACTGTCCGGAACCACCGACACTCCCCCTCCCTCTCTGAAGAAACTGAACGAGTTGGTCTTCAGATTGGAAGGTGGCGTAGGCAATGGAATGTGGGCTGCCTGTTCCCGCATTGCTGGCAAGGGTGCATCATCTGGCACTGCAGCTGGTTGGTAGGAGGGCTGCATCCTACTCCAGGACGTGGTATCCCATGTGGGCTTTCCAAAAGGCCCAGAGCTCAGGGAAAGAAGAGAGATGGCCACCACCACAGCTTCAAAGTCCAAGGACAACATGGGGACCAGGGGTGAGCGCATCCTCAACCCCTGGACAGAAGGACATGCCCACACTAACTCTGCCCCTGGTCAGCTCATACGACTGGGGCAACCCTCTGGTCCCTATGAATACTAAGGCCAGAGACTGCAGTCCCTCCCTGATCCACAAAATCATGCAATATTTATCACTAAAGTGCTTGAGATGGAAGGTGGTGAAGTAAATTCATCCTCACTTTAGAGACAAAAAGCCCCAAGCACAGACCTTTCGGGAAGCTGGGGAAATTATGTCTGGATTCAAGCTAATTTTTGTACAGCCTGATTTCACAGTAACTTTCAGACCAAGCTCTCCAAGTCCTAAGACAGGCCCTCTCGCATTTCTCTGCTGTGATCGACCGCAGAAGGACCCTTCTAGCTAAGGAAACAGAGCCACGCCCAACCTGACACCAGCGAGGACGGTGTCCCTGTCAAACCCCGAGCAGCCAGACAGGCCCTACGTGAGCTCTTCCGGCTTCTGCTCCGATACAGTGGGAGTGAGGACAAGGTCAGCTCCTCAGGCCCCCAGACCGGCTCCAGAGCACTCCAGAGAGAGCCACTGCGGCCTCCAGACGGAGGACACCAAAGTGACACCACACTTCCTCACCCAGGGGTACAAGACAGTTACCAGCTTTTCCAGAAAGACAGCAGTCAGCTCAAGGCCAATACTTCAAGAACTCCACTTTAACCCAGAGGTAGTTAATTAAGGCAAAGATCTTCCCTACCCACACCAAATAAAAAAATATCCAACCCTTCTCCCTAAGTGGGATTTTACCGAAACGACTGGGCATTAAAATGCCAAGACACAACCGTCCAGGCTCTGCAAAACGTTCTAAAAGGGACCTGCGCCAAATAGGGTGGAGGCCAGAGAAGTGAGCACGACAGTACCTTGCTGCCATGAATGCCAGTCTCTGGAGTGGGGGTGGAAAGGATGCCAGGCTGTGAACCCCACTGTCAGCACCAACAGCAGGGGCCGCCCTGTCCCCCCAGCCCCCAACAGATCTTTCCATGTTTTAAAGTATCTGCTGCCAATGTATTAAGGGATGATTTACGTAAAGCAAAGCACATAGATTTTGAGTATACTAAATACCTATAATATTTCTCAAGTTCACATTTCTTCCTGAATTCTCCAAGACTTGGAGTGGCCAACCCTCTCCCCTGCACCACAAGAGGGAAATAAATGCGGAGGTATCACAGAAGCAGTTTGAGGGGTTGCCAAGAAGCCCCTTCACTTTGTCCCCATCGACTCCTACCAAGATGACAAGGGACTTTAAAGGGGAGTGGCTGCTCCTTCATCTACCTGCTTACCTTTAACACAAAGACAGGAAAAGAGCCTCCTAGCTGAGGGTCACTACCCACCCCCCCGCCGGTCCTACCTACCCCTTTCCAGGATCAAGGCTCTTAACCTTATGCGAAGTCAATTCTAACATCCCAGGATCGCCCAGCCCCATAGGAGGTTAAAATTCTTCCCCTGCCATGATCCAGGGACCACCCACCCTTCATACATAGCTCCTCAGTTTTAAAAGCCACGAGAAATAGAATGTGGACATCCAGCAATCAGCCCTTAAGTCCCCTCCCCCACGTTAAAGTGTTTTGCTTCATCATCTCCAAGACAGGCCCAGGCACTAGAGGGTTGGCTGGATCTTTTCTGCATAAGGCTGTCACCTTGGGGACCCTTCTCAGGGCCACCCCAGGTGCAGACTAACAACTCCAGGGAATTTATCAGGGTAAGTGGAAAAGCCATGCCTGCCTTCATGAGCAACCATCTGTCCTGCCACACTCAAAGCCAGCATTTCCATCTCTTGCAAAACAGCTCCGTGTTGTAGGGGGTTGGGGGTGATGCGAAGGGAACAGAACAACTGTTGCTGGGGTTATCTTCGCTCTCCGCCCCATGCGTCCCCTCCCCCAACCAACTCATTTTCTGGCACTCACCCGAGTGTGTGCTGCTCTGGGCTGAGGAATCCGAGTCCTGGGTGCTCCAGGGCCGGTCCCAGCCCGTGAGACTGAGGGACTGCAGGCCAAGGCACAGGTCATTTGCATCTGGGAGGCCACGGGAAGAATCTTGCGCAGAGGTGGGGAAGAGCATCCTTCTTGTAACTGCTTCTTCAGAGTCCTGGAAGTCTGCTTTGGACAGGAGGACAGCAGGAACCCCAGAGTTAAGGGCTGTTTTCCCCAGTATTGTCAACGATAAATATTATTAATAATAGTTTCCCCAGGCTCAGGAACCAGACATCCAAGCCGGCCGGATGCTGCAGCCGCTGCCTCTGCACTTTTGGGGGCGTTGGAGCTAGAGCAGCTGCCATACAGCCCCCTCCCCACACACACACCCCTATCCCGCCTGCATTACAGACTGGCCAGCATGTGATCAGGCTGCTGATGCTTCCCGCTGCCAGTGACATCAGCCGGCTGAGCCGAGCAGCAGCAAGCGGCACCATCCCTCACAGAAGGGGGAGGGCAGGAGGGGACGACAGGGAGGAGACTTGCCTCCCAGGGAAAAGCTAGAACAACAGCTACTTGGAACAGTCCGGGCGCAGTGCTGCTGCGAAGGCAGGGTTGCGAGGCAGCGCCCTCTTATCTTCAGCAATGGTGGCCGGCGGCCGCCAGGCACGGATGAGGTCCTCTCCGTGGACGGCAGAGCCAAAGCAGCAGACTGCCTGCCTGTGCAGCTCTGCCCTCCTGCCCCTCCCTTCCCCTCCCTCTGCTCTCCACCCCCAAACCCAAAAACACTCTAGACCTGGACTCTCTCCAGCTGCTTGCTCAAGCCCTGGTTTTGCAGCCCAGTGCAAAGCTCCACGATCCCGCAAACACCCGTGTGCTCCAGCGGCCCGAGCGGTGCCCTGCCACAGCGGTGTTTACCACCAAGAGACAGGCGACCTCCAGAAAAACACTGTACACTCGGACCCTGGGGACGGCTCCTGGCGCTCCCGGCTCCTCTGGAACAGCTCAGCACACAGAAAAGGGGTCAGCTTTTGTAGAGGGCGGGGATGTCACCAGGCTGCTCTAGGTATACTGAAGTAAGCTCTGCCCTGACCAGCCCCCTCACCCCAGCAGGACTGGCATCAGAGCGGGCAGACGTATCAGGCCCAGCTCCTCCCCTCCCTTCTGCCCCTGTACACAGACTGAGGAAACACTCCCCAAACAGACCAGAACAGGAGAAACGGTCTCAGAAGTGGCATTACGCCCCACTAGAGACCCCACGTTCCGGAGCTCATATCACCCAGCTCTGACAGCAGTTTCTCCTGCCCTTCTGGGGGCTCTAGGAGATCAGTGGGGCCTTTGGGTGCCTGGGCCCTCTCTCAGGGGTGCTGCTCAGAACTCCTGGGGCCCTCACAGGTCCAGGAGCCAGTCCAGCTCTGCTCAGAGCTTTTAGAACCTTTGCTCCTTCCTCTCAGCGCACTCTCCCACGTCAGTCGTTTTCCACATGGCCTTCAGTGCAAGGCTCTTACTCAGAAGAGGGTAGAGCAGAGGCCCTGGCCCCAGGAGCAGGCTGCTCACACCCAGACCAGGCTGGCAGCCCCCCACCTTGCTTGTTCTCCATGTTACAGGAAGTGGTCACCAGACTCGGGAAACAGGTACACCTGGCACTGCCCAGGACAGGGTCTGAGGTGGGCAGAAGGGGTTATGCTGTCAGCCTCAGCCTCAGGCACAGACGGCCAGAGCCTCCTGAAGTAAACCCTTATGGTCACAGGAACTCAGCACAGCCTCGAGGGGAAAATGGCTAGTCTGTGGGTGGGACTCCTCCCATGGGTTTTTTTATTTTTTATTTTTATAAAGCTTTGCTGCTGTGTCATGCATCCACGTTATTCCTGTCTGGCCTTAGATACTCTGCTTGCTACCGGTCTGTGTTTGTCAAATTCTCACCACCACTGCCCAGGCTGAGTAAGAACTCATCCACACTGGTGTTGCCCTCAACCCAGACCACCCCCCTCTCCTGCTTCTCCAAGTCCACACTTCCCCCCAAACAAAGGTTATACTTTCAAATGATCCATATGCACTAATTACAAAGACAATGCATCCTCTGAAACCGTGCAGGTTAAGAGCCCGTCCCCTACACCAGCCACCAACATGGTCCCTCCCGCCCACCCCACAGCATCCATGCCTCGAAGCAACTCTTCCCTTCCCCATCTAAAATCAGGTGTTTGTCATGTGGCTCCCTTCATGCCTCAGGCAGTCTCATCAACCATACAGAGTACAGTGATATCAGCAGTGTCAGCATCGCTAAGAGTTTGTTATACAAAATCTCAGGCCCCACCTAAGATTTACGGAACAGAGCTGTATTTGAACAAGATTCCCAGCAGAGGCACAGAGTCTGTGTAGTACCGATCTGTACAAGCACCATGAGCCTCCCATCCAGGCCTGAGCAGCAGGTCCCTTCAAGGACATCCAGGAACAAATGGCCACAAGCATCCAGGAGCCTGGCAACCTGATCAGTGCACCTCTGCCTTCACTGCCCACATCCCCACTGTGGGCATCACCACCATCCTTGTCCAGACATTCTACATTCCATTCTTCCAGATAAGAGCTGTCACTGCCATTGTAGGAGTCCTTCACTGGATCCCAAAGTCAGTGGAGGCCATGCCGTTAATCCCTTAGTGTGGCAGACTGGGAAAATAAAGTAGTTTTAAAAGTATAATAGATTCGATTTGCTCACCTGGTCTGCTATGGTGTGATCTCAATCAAATTAGCCTTTCTGAGCTTTCATCTGTAAAGTAGCCACAGCAGCTACCTTTCAGGTGTTTTGTGCGGATTATATAAAGCATTTAGTACCGTATCTGGCATAAAGTATTATTATTTTGAACCTAAATTAAAATTTAATATGCTTGCCTTATTCAAAGATTTTCCTTAGATTTAAAAGATGCAAAAGGGCTTGCTAGTTATGTGATGATTGAAATGGCATCTGGCTAGAGGCTTCGAGTGCAACTTCTCCCCACTGCTCAATAAAAACCTGCTGTAAAAGTTAGGTTTTAATTAGTCCTAAAATTTAAGGAAGCCCAGTTGTCATGACCTGCTGATTGGACCTCTGGCAGTCTTGGGCTTTTCTTTTTTTCCTTCACATAATCCACTCTGTCTATTGACTTTTTTGTTGTTTCCTGCCTTATATCCACCACTCCAGTCCAGGCTCCTCAGGTCTGAATGACAGCATTTCAAGATCACAGCAATTGCACTTCTTTCTTCCAGCTGACAAATTAATCTTCATCACACTTGTTTCTTCATATTATTCTTATACTAAAAAAAAAACCAGGGCTTCCGTTGTGTACAGGATGAAGTCCAAAGTCCTCGGTGACCTTTAAGAATGCCATGATTTGGAACCAATGAACTTTTAATTCTCCTTCTCACCAATCCTTCAGTCCACTAGGTTTGGTGTTCTCTTTGATATCCGAAATAAGGCTTATTTAGATTATGTCTTTTGCCTTCCTCTCTTTCCTGTCTGAGTCTTACTTGTTTTTCAGCTAGATTCAAGTTAAATAGTTGACAACCCACAACTTCTAACTCCTCTTCATTAACATTTTTTGCAGACACTGAGCAGCTGAATTAGATAAAACACTGCTGCTGTGTGCAGCAGCATGCCTATGGGTGCTGGGCCTGACTCGACAGGCAGAGCCCAGGCTGGATTTCAGTCCCCACTCAGTCCCTTGGCTCAAAGCTTTGAGCAGTACAGAACTGTACAACTGTGCATGGCAGCCCAGACTTTGGATTATGAGGCAACCTTGAGGATGGAGAGCACGTGCTCAGGACAGAACTGGAAGACCAAGGAAGCGTGGGCCCTTGATGAGGGCGGCACCTCTACACCAGCCCTGGAAGGCCTTCCTCCTGACACAATTATTCTGGGCTATTATTTCATTCATGTTTCCTCAAGTTAGAGTCTAAACTTTACCAGGCAGAATGGGTCTGCCTTATTTATCACTGTATGCCAGGGCCTCCCCCAGACCCTGGCCCACAGTCAGTGCTCAATAATACTTTACTTGAGAGCTCCCTGCATGAGTGAGAGATTGCCCTTGACAGGAACGTCAGCTGGTCTCCCCTCAGCTGGTGACATGGAGGCCCCTGGGCATCACGGCCCCGCCCTGCCCACCATGGGCCTCCCACATGCCCATACATGGGCACAAGGTGGGTCTGCTCTGGCTGGCCTCTGTGACCTCATAATGCCCAGGGGGCTCCCGTGACTGTAAGAGGCCCAGGAGCCAGCCCCTGGCTCACAGCCCACGCAGTTCCACCTGCTCACAGGTTGGCTGGCCCAGCTAAGGTGGTACCTCCTGCTCTGAGCACCCACACCGAATCCACCCGGCACCATGGCCAGATATACACATTGCGGACATAGAGCAGATGCCGCCGCCAGAGACCAAGAAGTCACAGAGGGAGGAGGCGATGCTGCCAGAGGCGGAGAAGAAGAGGTGAGGGGCTTTGTCCAGGGGGTGGAGCTGGAGGAGGCGATGTGGCCAGAGGCGGAGAAGAGGAGGTGAGGGGCTTTGCTGGGGGCTCGGCTCATGCTGAAATCCCCCGCCTCTCTTATTCCCCACAGTGTGCTATCGTCGTCGCTACACTATGAGGTGCAGAAATAGCAAAAACACACTCAAGTTCACCATGTGTCTGAGTAAGATTTTGCCCGCTGTGAAGAAGTTTTTCCGCTATCTTGTGAATGCCACCCTAAGGAAACGAACAAGACCCTCCTAATTAATCAATGACGCTGCCTGTCAATAAATGCTGAAAAAGCAATTTAACTCTTGTCTCTTTGCCTTGACAGGAGCTCGGGAGGGGAGGGCTTGGGGACAATTGGAAGAGGGGACAGGAGGAGCGGTTGTCACACTGGATCTTGTCCCAATCTCTGACTACTCCCAAGCCACAATCCGAATCTGCCTCACCCAGCGCCCTATGGATCCCTCCCGAGCAGGGCCAGGAGCTGCTCATGCTGATTCTGGGCCCGTCTCCATCTCTGTGCTCAGTGGCTTTCTGTGGGCAGCTTGAAATGGGCCACGAACTGGCAAGTGGTGGGAGAGCTCACGCTGGCCCTCGGGGTGCCGGGCTGACGCTTGAAGCTGTGGACGCGTCGTTCCCGGGTGTCTTCAGTGGGAGTCTGGCTCGCCGGGGCTCGGGGCTCTGTGGCAGGGCTGAATCGAGCTGTCTCTGGAGTGAATCTCTGTCGTAGATGACATCCTGCAGTCTTCGCTGGGCAGGTGAGAGGCTTTCCTGAGTTCCCCAAAGGGTATCTAGAAGGTGGTCCCTTTCATCTAGCATGTTCACCATCAGCTGCTCGAAATGCGAGTCAGAGGCCGAGCCACTGCTTTGGGACCCCCTTTGGCTCAGAGGGGTGTCCTCATTAATCGTGGGCATCACTTCCCACATCACTGCTGAGGCGTGTCCTCCCCGGATGGCTGGCGGTCAGCGCCCCCAGGCCTCCCGGCTCCGCGGCCGGGGTCCTTCGCGGGCCGGCGGACCCAACTGCTGGGCGCCGCACGGGCGCTACTGTGTCCTTCCTCCGCGCGCGCGCGCAGGGCCGGCGCCGCGGCCGGGCCCCTCTTCTGGCATAAAGTATTTTATCAGAATTTTATTTTCTGATAAAAAAAATTTTCTATTATCATCATCCAAGTCAAGATACTTCTGTGAGGGATGGGGATAAATATTCACGATCATGCCACGACAGCAACCTCAAACAGAAACTCTCCTAGGTGAACTGGTACGGACGGCCGTCCTGTCCTGTCCGCAGCCACCTGTGCTCTGAGACATTTTGCTTGGCAGGCCTCCTCTCGAGTGGTTTCCTGATCCGGTGTCCCCACACTTACCCGTCCAGTCCCACCTCTCCACTCCGTATTGCAAGCGAGGTTGAGAGGTAAACCGTCAACACGGCTGACATGCAGTGAGGTAAGAGGTCTGGAAAGCAAAGGCTGATTTTACTGAACAAAAGCCCACCTCTGCTTCCCGAATTCACATCTGGTGCTGGATAGGAACCTGGCCCTTTTCACTGGGGAGTGTGTTCTTTATAATCTTTTGCCAAGCACCAATATCTAGGCT